CTTATCCTGACACTGAAGACAGCCCAGGCTCTAGACTCAGGGAAGCCGGGTGGTGTATCCAGTTCTGCTTTGTGGCCACTATGTGTTCAAAGTGCCACTCTCTCTTCTGAAAAATAGAGTCACAATCTCACTACCTCGCAGGACCCTGGTGGCAGTCACAAGAGGATTGGCAGGAAGTGCTCAGAAGTGCACCATGAAGGCGGAAAGCCTCACACGCGGCTCTGTGGGGCTCCCAAAAGGCCCAGCTCAGCCCTTGAAGAGACCCTGGGAGGAAGGCAGAGAAGGGGAAGGAGGGGGACAGAAGGGGATGAGAGGGACACAGAAAGGCACCTCTGTCACAGCCTGTGGCTTCCTGGTCCCATCTAGGACCCAAACAGGAATCGGCCAGCAGCCAGGCTTACAGTGTCCCACCTGACCACCTGCCAACAGAATCATGGCCGTGTCCCTCTGGGGGCATCCCCTGGCCCACAGCCTCAGGGCACTACATCCAAGGCAGAAATACTAAAGTCTCTAAGCCTAAGGATGCCTCCTTCCTTTCCCAGTCCAGGTGCATCCAAGAGACCTCCACGTAGCAGCAGGCAAGGCTCCACCACTCAGACACTAAGCAGGCGATATGCCCCAGCTGAGTTCTCCAGGGGGAAGAGAATTTTAGTGTCTTTGGAAGGAAGGAGTTAACCAAGACTTCCTCTGCTCCACCTGCCCCCCAACCAGAAGACCAGTCCAGGGTACCCATGGAGAAAAAAGGATCCTACCCCCCAACCCCCGATCTTTGTAGACCACCAGGAAGAAAGTCACACCCTTTGAGTGTCCCCATGGGTCAGGAGTTGAGGAACCAGGGGTAGGGAGTTGTTGTGGCTGTTCAGTGCCATCAAGTCAGTTCAGACTCATAGCGACCCTGTATAGGGTTTCTGAGGTGTGATTGGTGAGCCTGAACCACAACCCTGTGGTTCAAACTGACCTTGCACCCAGCGTATTAACCCACAGCGCCACACCAGAAGTCTAGAGGTAAGGGGAGAACCTGGGAAATGAGGGAACCATAGAGAAGGATCTGTTGGGTCAACAAGTAGACCCCCTTTTAGAGTTGGGATAGTGTTATCTGGTTTGAAGCCAAAGCCCTAAGAACATGTTGTGTCTGGCTCTGCCCTGCATTCAGAGAAAGGTACACTGACCCCAAGGCCTGCAGAGCAGTGTCCACATGGAAAGCAGCCAATGTATCCATGCTCAGACACACTGAAGTGGGCGGTATTTCAAGGGAGAGGGAGGCTCAGGCAGTTGGAGTCAGGGCTGTCATGTAGAGAGACCCATGCCATAGGCTCTTGCAGTGGGGCCTGGTGTGGATGGGAGAAGTCATGGAAGGTAGAGTCCATCCACTCAAAAAATACTCCCAATGATCTAAGGTGTTCAAAAATGAGCAATAAGGGAATAGAAGCAAATGGTGCTGAATGATGATGCATGGAAGGGATTATAATCATTGCAATGAAGTGACTACAATAGGATGTTCTCCCATGTAAACTATCACTCAATTCACAATAAAAGCTTTTTAAAAAATGAGCAGTGTTGGGTGCCCAGATTGGGTGTGCATTGGAATCAGCTGTCTTGAGCACTTGGTGGTAGGTGTTCATGGAACCGGTTGTCTTGGGAGCATGGTACTGGGTGTTCATTGAATGGACTGTCTTGGACAAACAGTGGGGAGTATTCTTGGGATCACAGTGGTGGGTGTTCTAGATGAGCTGTCATGCAGTCACAGTTGTGGGTGTTTATAGAGCAGGATGTCTTGAGAGGATGATGGTAGGTGTTCATACAACCAGCTGGATTTGGTGTATAGCGGAAGGTATTCCTAGAACAGGCTGTCTGGGGATCATGGTGGAGGTTCTAGAATGAGCTCTTATGTGATAGGGTAGTGGGTTTTCATAGACTGGACTGTCTTGGGGAAATGGTGGTGAGTGTTCTAGAATGAGCTTTCATGCGATCACAGTGGTGGGTATTCATAGAACATGGCTGTTTGGGGAGGATGGTGGTGAGCTCCCTGTGTCTGCAGGGGTACAAGCAGCAGTTGATGGCTCTTGGTCCCAGATGCTGCAGAGATCTTAGATGCAGTTGGATTAGATGAGCTGGACGTTCCTCTTCGGCTCTCTTGTGATGATTCAGAATCCATAGGGATTTAAGGGCAATCGGCCACCGTGGATTTCTTACCTGTCACTGGGCTTGCCCTTCTATGTCCTGCCCACCTGCCCACCTTAGGAACTCCGAGAGACACACTTTCTCCCTGAGGTGGTTGGAAAGGCGAGCCAGCCGATCAGTCCTCCATTCTGTGGACTAATTCTCATAACTGTCCAGGAGCAGAAGGCAGAGAGCCCTGGGGTCCCACTCTCAGAGAATGGGCTTTTGGAACCCATCTTTCAGGACATTCTGGCCCTGAGAAAGACAGACAGAGAAACAGAAAGACAGACCACGAGATTAGCCACCCAATAACACCATCTACACAAGGCCTATGAGGAAGGGTTCATAGGGAGCTCTGGCTGCACTGTTGGAAGTGGAGTGAGGGGTCGATTGGACTTGGCCAGGCTTGCTTCTCAGACTCCTCCTTCTTCCTCCAGCTCCTCCCATGGCCTTCTCCCTCTGCCTCCTCTCCTCCAGACCAACATACTGTTACAGTCCATCAACACCACACTCACCTCCTTGGCATCCCCATCGCTAACCCCACCCCTCCTTCTCTTCCAGAACTGGCCCTGGTGGGTGATGCTCTTTGGTACAAACCATAAAGCCCCAGGAAACAGGATTCTCAGGACCCTTTGCTCCCAGGCTCTTTTCAGACCTATTTCTGGAGGTGCCGAGCGGGCTTGGGCCCAGCGGATCCACTCAGTGATGATCACGGCAGGAAGAGCTGGGTGTACAACCAGGCCTGAGAGGGAGCCTGGGGTCTGGGTGCACAGATTTGCCACAGGTCCCATGCATTCAGGGTGGAAATTCCAGCTACCCCCTGAAATCTCAGCCTCCTCATTGACTCTGGGGTCAAGTGGGACCCGTGGGCACCTAGAGTACATCTGTGGCCGTGGAAAGAGCACCCCAAGTCTCCGGTCGGATGGGCTTCTCCCAGACCCCAAGGACATCCCCCCGTTCTTCTCTAGGGTTCTCATTGTCCTAACAAATATCCTTCAGGGATTAGGAAGCTAGGGGAACTTAGTCGCCTCCTGGGAAATTCGCATAACTTAAAATTCATCATTTTAAGGTGTACCCAGTGTGGCTCTGTGGGTTAATGGTGCTAGACTGCAAAATCGGTTTGAATCATAAGGTCAGCGGTTCAAGCTCACCAGCTGCTCCTCAGAAGCCCTATACAGGGTCGCTATGGGTCGAAGCTGACTCAACGGCACTCAACAACAATAACAACTTTCTGTGGCATTCTGTACATTTATAGTGTTAGCCACCACCTCCAT